GTCTCCCACATGGGTGGCAGAGGCCCAAGCACTTGTGTCGTCTTCTGCTGCCTCCCCATGTGTATCAGCAGGGAGCTGGACTGAAAGCAGAGCAGGCAGGATTCAAACCAGTGCTCTGATACGGGATGTGGGTATCCCATGCAAGGACTTCACCTGCTGTACCACAATGCCTGCCCCCATTCTTAATTTTTAAAAATGTGTATTTATTTGTATTTATTCTGAAGAGATATAGAAAGAGAGACTGGCTCACTCTTCAAGTGCCAACCACAGCCAGAGCTAGGCCAGGCTACAATAGGGACCCTGGCACTCCATCCGGTCTCCCAGTGGCAGGGACCCCACTTCTTGAGCCATCACCTGCTGCCTCCCAGGGTGCGCCTTAACAGATGGCTAGAATCAGAAGTGGAGGTGGGGCTCAAAGCCGGGCACTCCGACGTGGGGTGTGGCATCTTAACTACTACGCCAAGTGCCCACCCTCTGCTTTGAGGGACCGCCGTGCCGTCTGCCGTGGTGGCCACACCATCCACACTCCCCTGAGCGGTGCGCACAGGGCTCCAGTTGCTCCGCGGCCTCATCAGCCCTGTCGGGGGGCCTGAGGTGGCGCCTCCTGGTTCTGCTTGGCGTTTCCCTGGTGACTGGCAACTCCGAGCATCTTTGCGTTCGCTCACTGCCTGTCTGTGTTTCCTCCCTGAAGAAACGTCTGTTCAGGTCCTTTGCCCTGTGTCGGTCAGTTTTTGTTGATGCTGTTTGTTGAGTTGCAGGAGTCCTTCACAGCATCCGATACGGGCCCCTTATCAGGTTGTGCGCAAATGCACTCTCTGCTCCCATCCGCCCTCTCTCCATAACTGATAGTGTTCTTGGACGCACAGAAGCTTTCTGGTTTAATGTGGTCCAATTTCATCTATTCTTTTGCTACCTGCACTTCTCACGTCGTATCCCAGAAACTATGGCCAAATCCAACGTTTTCTTCTGCTAAGAGCTCTGCGGTATTAGCTCTTACATTTAGAACTCATCCATTTTCCGTTGATTTGGGGGTAAAAGGAGGCCCTAACCTCATTCCTTTGCATGTGGAAATCCAGGTTTTCCCACCCAGTTTATTGAAGACATTGTCCTTTCCCCCGTCGAATGGTCTTAGCACCCTTGCCAGAAAGTGACCACGTTGGAGGGCGTCCGTGTCGCCTTTGTGTCGTTGGTCTATCCATCTGCCTTTCCAGGTTGTGCCAGTTCCAAGTTGTGGTTATTGTTGTTTTATAAGTTTTGAAGCTAAAGAGTTCTTCTTCTTTTTCTTAAAAAAAAAAAATGGGGAGGAGTCCAGTCAGGATCCACTGAGATGCCACGTACATTTTAGGGTGGACTTTTCTGTCTCTGCAGAGTATCACCGAGACTTCGATAGGGATGATAGAGTTGCTGTAAATCTGCAGCTCACTTTTATTTTTATTTTATTTTTATTTTTTTGACAGGCAGAGTGGACAGTGAGAGAGAGAGATAGAGAGAAAGGTCTTCGTTTTTCTGTTGGTTCACCAACAAATGGCTGCCACGGCCGGTGCACTGCAGCCAGCGTGCTGCGCCAATCCCAAGCCAGGAGCCAGGTGCTTCCTCCTGGTCTCCCATGGGGTGCAGGGCCCAAGCACTTGGGCCATCCTCCACTGCACTCCCGGGCCACAGCAGAGAGCTGGCCTGGAAGAGGGGCAACCGGGACAGAACCGGCACCCCAACCAGGACTAGAACCCGGGGTGCCGGCGCCACAGGTGGAGGATTAGCCTAGTGAGCTGCGGCGCTGGCCTGTAGCTCACTTTTGATTGTAAGGACATAGGATGTCTTTTTCCATTTATTTGTGTCTTTTTTAATTTCTTTCCACACCATTTTGTAGCTTTCAGTGTGCAAGTTTGTCACTTCTTTGGTTAAGCTTTTATTCTTTAGTGTGCTATTGTAAATAGAATTTTTACTTAATTTTCCTTTCAGATTGCTCATTGTTAGTATACAGAAAGGTGTCTTGTTTTTTGAGCACTGACTTTTGAAATTTTTAAATTTATTTTCATTTTACTTGAAAGAGAGACAGAGAGACAGAGGGGCCGGCGATGTGGCATAGCAGGTAAAGCCACTGCTTGTAGTGCTGGCATCCCATATGGGCACCAGTTCGAGTCCCAGCTGCTCCTCTTCTGATCCGGCCCTCTGCTGTGGCCTGGGAAAGCAGTAGAAGATGGCCGAAGTCCTCGGGCCCCTGCACCCACGTGGGAGACCCAGAAGAAGCTCTTGGCTTCGGATCGGCACAGCTGTGGCTGATGCGGACATTTAGGGAGTGAACCAGTGGATGGAAGACCTCTCTCTCTGCCTTTCCTTCTCTCTCTGTATAACTCTGACTTTCAAATAAAGTTGGCCACAGGGACGCGCAGTGAACACTGTGGGCGCTCAGCTCCTCATGGACGGATGCTGCCGTGCCGGTGCCTCCCGGCCCAGGAAGGCTGACCACCTCATGTGGATGCCCCCGTCTCCCTAGGGAACCTGTCCCGTTAGCATCCCTAATGGGATGTTCTTCTTCAGACATTTTGACTTGCCTCTGTGGGCATCCTTTTCTTACCAACCTGGTGGGGTTTGCCCTAGAGGAGGCTGAATTGTCTGCGCTATGGACCACCACCGTCTCACAGAATCTTCAGGGTGATGGATTTGGAGATCTCTCCCAGGGCCCCAGCTTGTCCTTCTCTTTGACCGGGTTTCTTGGGAAACTTCTTCCACCGCATCTGGGTCACCTGAGACCCAGCATCACTGTGACCCAGCCCATCCTCCCATCACACACCGACAAGGTCCCTGCAGAGTGGCAAAAACAAGGCCAGGTTCACGGCCATCGCCAGCAAACAGGCAGCACAGAGCCAGCCCATCATGGGCGTTCATCTGATCTTCAAAATTCCCCACCTCCCAGGAGTCTACAACCCTGGGGCCGGTGCCCTTGACATGCTTTGAGAGATTCTTGACTCAGGACCTTCTGCCCGAGAATTCTACGAGCCATGCATGAGCCTGAGCTGACTTCCATCGGCAGAAAAGAGCCGTGGGAGGAAGAGCAGGTGGAGGACAGACACCGCCATCCGTGCCGACCTGCCCTAGCCTGCCATCTCACTCTTCCTGCTTGGGGCTGCCAGGGCTGGGCGCCATCACACCTTGCAGGGCTTCCCTGTAACTCGGGGCACCGTGAGGTCCCCTCTGGTCCTCTCCAGTCCCTGTGGGCACACTGATGAGTCTGTATGTGACTCACGGCTGGAGCCCGACTTCCAGACTGGATGAGGCCTACCAGCGTCAAGGCAAAGCCAGCAGCAGCTCGCTGGTCAAGTCAGGAAAGCGCCTTCCCGTTTTCTCAGGTTCCTAAACAAGTGATGTCAGGGCCCTCCTCACACACTGCCTGGCGCGCTGCCCTCTGCATCCCAGGGCACAGGGCTTCCCTGGGCTGCTCTCTAGGCAGAGCGGGGGGGGGGCTCCAGCCCCGCCCCTCTCTGTCTTCAACAGGAGCCATTCTGCTTTGCTCTCAGCATGGGAGCCGCATCCTAAGGCTTGTGTTAGAGCAGCGTGTGCCACCACTTGCTCACAAGGTTGGGAAGCCAGCCATGTGTCACAGCAGGGCCGAGAGAGGCTCAGGAGAACACCACCTCCAGGCTTGTGCTCATCCCACACCCGGCTGGCCCCTTCTTGGGGCTGCTGGGCTCTCCGGACAGAGGCAGAAACACCAGCCACCCGCTCCCTCGAACTGCAGCTCTGCCCCCACACAGACCTAGCATGCAGACGGATCAGATCCACACCCCCCACCCGGGGCGGCACAGCCTGAACCCCACCCTGCCTGATGATGTGGGCACACACACAGCCTTGTGGGGAATCCCTCCACTGCTAACTCTGTCGCCTGTCCAAGGCATGGGGGATGGGTGTGCTCTGAAGCAGGGTCCCGCCCACCCCCTCCCCCAAGGAGCAGCACCCCCTGGGAGGTCAAGCCCCAGCCGGGATGCAGAGAGAACCCTGGTGCAGAGCGGCGCTCCTAAGGCCGCCTTGCTGGGCTGGCTGTGGCCCCGGCTCCCAGCCCAGCTCTCGTGCAGTCTGCAGGGACACCGGCCTCGATGCAGCTCCCTGCTGTAGACCTGAGCACTCTTGTCAGGTGGCCACGCAGGGCTGCAGGCGGAACCTGTTCCCCCTGGCATGAACCCTTAGGCAGGAGGATGGGGGAAGTCCGGGAGGAAGCAACACAGGGCAGGACGTTGGGGAGGGGAGGGGCAGAGGAGCTGGGGGTGAGGAGTCAGGGGCTCAGCCAGTGGAGTGGGGGAACTGCTGACTGTTGGAGGCTCGGAGCCCGAGCTTCCTGACTCCCTGTGCCCTCGGGAGAGGCGTCCGCGGTGGCTTTGCTGCGGCAGGGGGCACTCACCAGCCGGCTGTTCCATGTCTGCGAGAGGCAGGAGGATGGGAGGACTGTTCTGGGTTTTTGTTTGTTTGTTGATGGTTATTTTCATCTACTGGAGTGACAGTGCACGAGAAAGAGAGATCTTCCACCCACTGGTTCACTGTCCAAATGGCCCCAACTGCCAGGGGCTGGGCCAGGCTGAAGTCAGAGCCAGGAGCCCCATCCAGGTTTCCCATGGGGGCGGAGGGGCTCAAGTCCTCGGGCCGTCTTCCACCTGGATGCACGGGAGCAGGAAGCTGGACGGGAGGCAGAGCAGGGGGACTGCATCGGGCATCCCAGGCAGCAGCTTAGCGCTCAGCACCGTGAGGCTCATCCTGGACTTTCTTTTTTAAACTCCACCTGAGCCGGGAGGGTGCTGTCTATCTGGTGCCTCCAGGCTGAGCACCAAGTCCTGCTCTAAGCACCTGCTCCCTTAATGGCCCTGAGAGCATGGGAAAGAGCTTCCGCAGACCCTGAGAACAGAAGGCACCCCACCCCGGGGTGGCAGGCCCCTTCCAGAGCTCCCCTCTGGCTACTCTGGGGCAGCTGGGCAGGCTTTGGGGCTGCCCTGAGTCCTGGCTCTGTCCCCCAGAGGACCGAAAGCTGTTCGTGGGGATGCTGGGCAAGCAGCAGGGCGAGGAGGACGTCAGGCGCCTGTTCCAGCCCTTCGGCCACATCGAAGAGTGCACCGTCCTGCGGAGCCCGGACGGCACCAGCAAAGGTGACCCGTGCTGACCCCGTCACGCTGGGCCGCTTGACTCTGGCCCCTGTGGCCTGAGCCGCGACCCCTCTGTCCCGCTCCCCAGGCTGTGCCTTCGTGAAGTTCGGGAGCCAAGGGGAAGCGCAGGCGGCCATCCAGGGCCTGCATGGCAGCCGGACCATGGCGGTGAGGGCGGGGCCAAGGGTCAGGCCATGGCGGTGAGGGCGGGGCCAAGGGTCAGGCCGCGGGGGTGGGGCTGGGGGGGTGGGCAGTGGGCCCCGCGCTCACCGCCACCTCCCCACCTGCCCAGGGTGCCTCTTCCAGCCTGGTAGTGAAGCTGGCGGACACGGACCGCGAGCGCGCGCTGCGGCGTATGCAGCAGATGGCCGGGCAGCTGGGTGCCCTGCACGCCGCACCCCTGCCGCTCGGGGCCTGCGGTGCCTACACCACGGCGGTGGGTGCTGCCAGCCGGGTTGGGGGCGGGGGCCGGGGCCCCCTTCTGGGCCCTCCACGCCCAACCTTCTTCTTTCCCAAAGATCCTGCAGCACCAGGCGGCCCTGCTGGCGGCGGCCCAGGGCCCGGGCCTAGGCCCGGTGGCCGCGGTGGCGGCCCAGATGCAGCACGTGGCAGCCTTCAGCCTGGTGGCCGCGCCGCTGCTGCCCGCGGCAGGTAGGGCGGGGCGGGGCGGGGCGGGGGCGGGTTGGTGGATACTGCGCCGCGCCGCCGGGGCAGGAGGCCAGGGCGGTGGCCTGACCCTCCGGCCCCTCCTGCCGCCAGCCGCCAGCTCGCCGCCGGGCGGTGGTCCTGGCCCGCTCGCTGGTCTTCCAGCGCCCATTGGGGTCAATGGATTCGGCCCCCTAAGCCCCGCGACGAACGGGCAGCCAGGCTCCGATGCGCTCTACAGTAACGGACTCTCCCCTTACCCAGGTGGGCGCCCCCGCCGAGGGGTGGGGGGAACCAGGGCCCCGCCTCGCCGGGAAGGGGCCGCACCCCCTGTGCCTCACCGGGGCCTCGCGCGCTCTCTCTCCAGCCCCGAGCCCCGGCGCGGACCCCGTGCAGCAGGCCTACGCCGGGATGCACCACTACGCAGGTTCCGCTGCGCGTGGCCGGGGTGGCGAGGGGGCTGTGCGGGACGGACTCTGCTCCAAGGAGCAGCCTTTCCCTTCCCGCCCCCGGGGCGAGGGTTAGGGCGGATGGGGCTGGCCTGGCCCGAGGTGGCCGGCCGGGCAGCTGGGGCCTAGCGCGGGCGTGGCCTCTGTCCCCAGCAGCCTATCCGTCGTCCTGCGCCGCGGTGAGCACCGCCCTGCAGCAGCCTACAGCCCTGCCCCAGCAGCAAAGAGAAGGTGAGGGGCGGGGCTGGAGAGCAGGGCCGCTGGGGCTGGACCCAGCGTCGGCCCTGAACCAGCCCGCGGCTGTCCCTGCAGGCCCCGAAGGCTGTAACCTCTTCATCTATCACCTGCCTCAGGAGTTTGGTGACGCAGAGCTCATCCAGACCTTCCTGCCCTTCGGAGCGGTCGTCTCTGCCAAAGTCTTTGTGGACCGAGCCACCAACCAGAGCAAGTGTTTCGGTGAGCGCTCCCTTGCTCCGCGAGAGCAAGTCTCCCTGGGGGCAGGTTCACCTGGCCAGGGCCAGGCAGCGGACCAGAGACCCCTCCGCCGGCAGCTGCAGTTCTGAGGAGCAGATGGGAGCTGTGGGGGAGGCGGCCTGCTGGCGCCAGGCAAGCACCTGGCTGACGCCCGGCCCTCCCCGGCTGCTCCTTCCTTCCAGAACCATGCCTTTAGGAAGCGTGGCCCGTCTGCCCATGTAAGAGTGTGTGTGTATGTATGGTTGTGTCTGTGAGTGTGTTGGGGGGTCTCTGTGTGTCAGTGAGTCTGTGTAAGTGTGCATTTGCGTGTGGTTGTGTCTGTGAGTGGATCTGTGTGAGCGTGTATGTATGATTGTGTCTGTGTGTGTGATAGTGTCTGTGTGTGTGTGAGTGGGTCCGTGTGTGTATTTGTGATGTGTCTGTGACTGTGCACAGATGACGGAAGCTCTTGGGCTCAGTGGAGCTGGCCTGAGTGGCTGGGAGAAGAGGGGCTCGTCTGAGAAGGTGCCCTGCCAGGTGGAGCTCCTGGCTCAGGCCTCTGCCGGCATCCCCAGGGTTCGTGAGTTTCGACAACCCGGCCAGCGCCCAGACCGCCATCCAGGCCATGAACGGCTTCCAGATCGGCATGAAGAGGCTCAAGGTGCAGCTGAAGAGGCCCAAGGACGCCAGCCGGCCTTACTGACCTCGCCGCCCCGCCCAGAGAGGTACGGCCCAGCGCGGCCAGCCGGGACGGGGTGGCGAGGCCCTCCTGGCTGGGTGGCCCTTTTGGCTCTTCTGAGAAGGGCGAGGACAGAGGGGGGACCACGGGTGGTTGGAAGGGTCTGAGAGGCCAAGTCTGGACTTCATCCCAAGAGTGGCCGAGAACCATGGAGCAGTTTAAGCAAAGGGGGAATGGACACAGGGGCTGAGATGAGGGTGGTGCGCGCGGATGTGGGGGAGAGAAGCAGGTGCGCTGGGGAAGCCGGATGAGCACTGGCCGCAGGGGCCGGGCAGGGATGACAAGCTTGAGGCTTCTGGCAGGGCTGTGGGTCCAAGGAGGCCATTGCGACGTCAGGTCCCCACGGCCCTGCCTGCTTGGAGCTGCCCACGCCGGGGTGTTCCGCCCAGGACCCAGGGTCTGGCTTCACGGGACAGGGCCATTGCCTTGGCCTTGCTTCTACTTGGGGAGAGAGGTCCAGCCGCCTCCAGGGTGTGCCTTCCCCTCCAGGGTGATTTTCGCTTTTCTTCCCTCCTGCTGTCCTTACCAATTAATACCCAAAGACAGAAACGGAAGAGTGAGAGGAAAGGAAGGAAACGCACGCCGATGCGGGAGCCGCCCTTCCCGGACGAGCAGCTGCGGGCAGAAGCGGATCGACTGCGGCTGGGGCCCCGCCCAGGCCCGTTTCCGACCGTGGGTTGCTGTGCGCAGGGTGTAGCGGCCAGGCTGTCCCGGCACCGGGCCGGCAGCGGACTGACTGGGAGCCAGCAGAGGCCGTGGGGGTGCCGAGGGCTTCTCTGCGAGGGAAGCCCAGACTTAATTCTCTCAAAACCATATCATTCCTTAGAGTTTAGGGACCAAAGGACTATTGCTTTTTTTTTTCTAAGAAAAAAATTATATATATATTAAAAAAAACACACACAAGAGAAACAAGAAAGACACTATAGCGTCTCATAAAAGCTGCCTTTAAGTATCCCTAGGAGACAGGGTGAAGCCCCCTGAGCCGGCCCAGGCAGAGGGAGGCTGGGAAGGGTGCTCCGTGTGGCATCCCTCCCTTTAAATATAAGCTAGCCCCTGGGGCTCTAGGCTCAGATGCGCAGCAGGAGAGAGTTTGGGAAGCAGCAACCCTCCCCCTAGCCCCCCATTACCTCCCACCCCCGCTCCCAGCCTCCAAACTCAGAGGCCGCCTTGGAAGAGAACCCAGGAGGCACCATGAGAGGCAGCAGACGCAGCAGCAGCAGCAGCAGCAGCAAACTGCCTTGCCCTCCTGGCGGCCTGTCCTGCGCAGCCGCTGCTGGCCCAGGCGAGGAGGGGGAGTCTGGGCCCCACCCCCAGTGCACATGGACAAGAGGCCCTTCCTTTGGCTGAGCCCAGATACCTCCTGCTGCCCCTCCCCTGTGAGCCAGCCCCAGTGTCCCCTGGTCCCAGGCCACCTTCTGTCGCAGAGTTTGCCCACCTGTTAAAGTGGGTTCAGGCCGCAGCCACGGCCATGGGGGTGCCCCTGAGAAGGGGAGATTCCCAAAGGAGAAGCTGCAGGACAGGATCCTCTTTCCCCGGAGCCGGGAGGGACGCAGATGTTCGCCAAAATCCTGCTTCGTTCCTCTAACAAAGTACACCTTTCCTATGCAAGAGTGTCTCACTTGTGCTGCTCCAGGGCGCTTCCAGACGGTGGGCCGTGTTCAGCTTCGCAGTGGTGTGTGCTGTCTGTCGTCTTTGTCTGTCCGTTGTATACAGTGGGTGCCATATAAAGCTGGTCAGTGGAGGTGCTTGCTGCCTGCTTCTGTGAGATGGTTGGGCCGAGGACGGCTCCGAACGCCGTGGCTCACCTTGCCTTGGTGAGCTTCGCCTGGGCCTGCAGGGCCTTGCACACACTTCCCCTGCCCCCGAGTGTGGCGGCAGCCCAGATCAGGCCTCGGGTCACACGGTAGGGGCTGGGGTGGGCTTCGAGGGCTCTCCCTCGCGACAGTTGCTAAGAAAACCTGTTCCCACTTGTTCTGTCTTCGGCTCATTTTTGGCTGGAATGGGAATGAAAACTAACAGATCCAGCAATGCCGCAGCCAGGTAAGGCTCAAGGTACAACACAGAGTTTCCAACCGAGAGCAGAACCAGTGCTGGCCCAGAGGCTGTCCCCCGGACACGGATCCAGGGCTATAAACAGACACTCAGCCGGAGGCCCCAAGACCCCCAGCTCCAGGGGCTGGGGCCTAGACCCGTTTTGAGGAGAAAGGCTGGCCGGTGTGCAGTGGGCGTGGGGGTGGGACACAGGTGTGTGCCAGCATGCACAGTGGGCCCTGGTGCAGACCCCTTGTGGGGGGCGGTCAGAGGAGGGCTTCCTGAGGGGCAGTGAAGAGCAGACGGGCCTCTGAGGAGGAGGCGGGACATCTGGGCGTTCCGCTGTTGAGAACTTGCTTTTAGCGCCAAGAAGTGATCCTGACCATTTACTCCATGCCTGCGGTGTGCCATGAAACTGTCCATTCCTGCCTCTACCCCCAACTCATGGCTGAGTCACGCAAGACGTGCAACCAGCAGGGTTACACTTAAACTGTATCGCTCTGTCCTTCAGGGTGTGGGCTAAGGACCAGCAGCCCGTGAGACCCCAGAACCGTGGAGCGGGTTGGCATGGTCTCCCTTGGGACTGGCAAACTGTGGCCTGGGGACCGAAGCTGGCCTGTGTGTGACCTACAGACCAGGAATGGTTTTTCCATTTTTAAAGGGTGGTCATAAACGAAAGGAAATGAGACAGAGTCTGTATGGGAACCTCAGAGCACATCCCCTAGACAACACATTTGCTGACCCATAGCGAGATCACAGGAGACCTGAGAAATGTGTGATGAGCTCCGCCCAAGTGGTGTTTGTGTGTCTGTGTGTTCATGTGTTAGTATGAGGTTTTTCTGTTGGCAAGTGCCAGGAACCCAGCTTAAACAAGTGTAAGTCAATAGGAAACTTGGTTTACATCGCCAACAAATCAAGGATGGATGTGCCTTCAGGCATGGCTGGATCTGGGGGTTCAAATGGCGATGTCTCCATCTCTTGGCTCTGCTTCCTTCTCTGTGTTGGCCTCACTAATTCTAGCTCCAGAATCCTAGAGGACATTGATGAACTCTGGACACAGGCACACCTTGAGGATGGGCCTCCACAATGACAACTCCAGCAGGGCTGTGGCGGGAAGAGAAACAGGCTCCCAGAGGAGGAGATAGATGGTGTAGGTTGCCAGTACGTGTCCTCTATACTGCACCCTGTAAAAAAAGATGTACTGGGGCTGGTGCTGTGCATAGCTGATAAAGCCAACGCCAGCTACCAGCATTCTATGTGGGCACCAGTTCGAGTCCTGGCTGCTCCACTTCCAATCCAGCTCCCTGCGAATGTGCCTGGGAAAGCAGTGGAAGATGGCCCAAGTGCTTGGGCTCCTGCACTCACGTAGGAGACCCAGATGGAGCTCTTGGCCCAACCTGGGCCCTTAGAACCATTTGGGGAATAAACCAGCAAATGGAAGACCTCTTTTTCTCTCTCTGCCTCTCCCTCTGTTACTGTGACTTTTAAATTAATAAATAAATCCTTTAAAAAAAAAAAAGATTTATTTGAAAGAGTGACAGAAAGGGAGAGATCTTTCTGTGGTTAGACTCTTCGGCCTCCATCAGGGCCCCTGGAAAGAATTTCTCTCCTTGGATGCAACCTGGGTTTCCTGGATGTAGAGAGAAAAGAGATGGTCCTCATGACTTCTGGTCTGGGAAGCAACCCTGGCCCTGCCCCCTACCTCAGTGGAGCAGAACACGGGAGACCCTGCGAAAACAAGACAGGCTGTGGGTGTGCAGAGCAGATGCCCCTCCACCCTCCCCTGCTCTGGTTGTAGTCTCTGGGCATCCGCTGGTGTGGCCGCACCTGCCTGACACACATCTCTGTCACCAGAGCCCTGCTCAGTAGGGACTGGGGGGCTGGCCCTGGCCTCTGGCCTCCCCACTGCCAGAAGATGTGCACGGTTACATAGCTCTGTGCTACATAGTTACATAGCTCTGTGCTCTTTGGGGGAAAAACCCAGGAAGGCTCTGGGAGCTCACAGCCAAGACTGACCATGCAGCTGACCTTCCAGGCTGCAACCTGCCAACAGCGCTCTGCAAAGAGGTGGCCAGGCACAAGCAGAGGGCCACTCTTTCTCTCCCTAGTCCCGGCTTTGGACACAGCTAGTACAGCAGCTGCCACCCTACAGCAGCTGCCACCCTGCAGCAGCCTGGGCTGGCGGAAGCCTTTGGCCAACTCTGTGGGGGACTTTGAACTTGCAGGCTCTGCCCTCCCACGTGCCAGCTGCCCGAAAGCCCAGACATCCAGAAAGCAAACAGGCTGCTGAGCGAGGTCTCAGGTGCTCAGCAGAAGACGCAGGTTGGGAGGGGTCCATAAATGGCCAAGCCCAGTGACCTTGGACCAGGCACTGGGAAGCAGTAGTCTGGGTTGAATTCTGTGCATTAGAATGAGGAAAAAAAAATAGTCATCTGTCCCTAAGCCCCTTTTCTACCCATTGGGAATCAGTGTCAGGACAGGGGCTGAGCCTGAAGCCAGGCACTCCTGAGGGCAGCCTTCTGTGAGCATGGGGTAAGATGCTGGCTCTTTGCTGGAGGGAGAACCCAGGAGCCGGAGGGAGAGGCGGCGGAGGCAGCAAAGACGATGCCTCCCTGGGTCAGACACTGCTTCCCAGGAGCTCCATTGCCTGCTTGTAAGCGCCTGGTGTTCACAAGGAGATGCCACATCTTGGAGCAGTCCATGGAGGAAGTGTGGGAGGGAGCCCACCCACGTGTTCCCCTCTATCTGTGGTTTTCTGTTGGCCAAGGTGCACCCCTCAGCCCTTAGCTGGGTCCTTGCCCTGCATGGTTGATGGGACAGTCAGCTCCCACGACCTGCTCTGGGGCATTGCCACCACAGGCATGGGAGTGGAGGGGCTGCTCCAACAGAGGTGGGGGGGGGACCTTCCATCCACTGATGTACTCCCCCGGTGACTGTAATGGCCAGGACTGGTCCAGGCTGAAGCCAGGAGTCTGGAACTCCATCTGGGTCTCCCACGTGGGTGCAGGGGCCCAAGCACTTGGGCCATCTTCCACTGCTTTCCCAGGCTCAGTAGCAGGGAGCTGGATCCGAAGCAGAGCAGCTGAGACTCTGAGTTTCAAATAAATAAACAAATCTTAAAAAAAAAAAAAAAAAAAAAAAGACACAATAGGTACCTCCTTCTTCCGGCACATTGAAGATTTAGGGGCTGGCATTGTGGCTTAGCAGGTTGAGCCATCACCCATTGCCTCCTAGAACCTGCATTAGCAAGAAGCTGGAGTCAGCAGCAGGGACCAGGCATTGGACTCAGATACTGTGACGTGGGCTGTGGGCCTCCTAACTGGTGGGCCAAATGCCACCTCTGATTGGGTTTTCATCATCCACAAGATGCAGGACTCCCTGACCCACGGCAGCCCGGGCTGCTGGCGAAGGCAGCTCTGGACAAGGCTGGGTCTGGCTCTGATTCTGCCAGCAGAGGGAGGCGGACCTGCAGGCCTTACCAAGAAGCCAGAGGGGTTCTCCAGGGCGCCCTGAGAGCTCCAGCTTTGATGGGCGCATGGCTGACTTGGGAAAAAACAGGCGATCCTTTTGCCAGCTGCCATGGGACAGGAATTTCACCTTCCTGGCCAAGGTTAATCAGGTCCCTGCGGCCCCCATTTCCTGCAGTTCCACCAGCTCCACATTCTGGGGCCTGCTGGGTGCTCCCTCCGCTCCAGTTCTGCAGCAAGCCTGGGGCACGTGCAGGGGGAGGGAAGGGCTCCACACAAGCCAGTGGAGCGGGCAGGGCACTGAGAGGGGCGCAGTGACACTGAGCCCGGGGGGATGCACTTCAGGGCCTCACACAATGGCCGTCAGCATCTCTCCCTCTGTTTCTCAGGCTCTGCCTTGCTCTGTCCTCATGTATCACACACACTTCTCCAGGTGGCAGGGAGAGGGGAGCCGGCACCTTCCATCTCACATCCTGTTAGCATCACGGAGCACTGAGGGCAAGAGAGTGATGCCCTGAGCGTCCCAAAGCCACACCTGAGGTGATCCTACTGGTCAGGGCCACACCAGTGCCCACCCCAGTACTCACCAGTGCCCACCACTACTCACTCCCGTACCCACAGCACACACACAGTGAGAGCCCTAGGCGCAGGATGAAGCTGGCCCTGCTGTGCCCAGCGCCACAGGATGAATGCTCCTTGGTCTGCAAGGATTTCTCTGAATCACTTATTCTGCAATCGACATTTCTGGGGACTGTCTTACCTGCCCGTGAGCTGAGGAAGCAAAGACCCAGCCTGCTGCCATTTATCGTGGAAGGTGGGCTCTGGGTACTTGTAACACAGGGAGCAACCCCAGATAGGCACTGGTGAGGCCACTGGAAGAGACACTAGAAGTGTGTGTGCCCTGTGCCGATGCTATATTCAAGTAGTGAATACAAATGAGGAAGAAGGAGTCTGTTAAACATGCCATGAAGGGGGTCAGCGCTGTGGTGCAGCGGGTAAGGCCACTGCCTGTGATGCCCGCATTGCATATGGGTACCGGTTTGCTCCACTTCCGATCTAGCTCTCGGCTAATGCACCTGGGAAAGCAGCAGAGGATGACCCAAGTGCTTGGGCCCCTGCACCCACATGGGAGACCCAGATGGAGTTTTGGACTCCTGGCTTAAGCCTGGACCAGCCCAGGCATTGCCGCCTTTTGGGGAGTGAACCAGCAGATGGAAGCGCTCTCTCTCTCTCTCTGTAACTC